CCGTTCATATCTTTGTTGGTGCTGGAGGTCCTGGCAGGGGAATTTTGTTAAGGCGTTAACAATGCAGTAGATAATAACTTAGAAATAGTCTCAACACAAACATTTAAGTTATATATAATCCACACAACCAGTAACAGGAAACAACATACCCTCAATTATCACAGCCAGTACCTCACCAGTGTGACCTCGCACTTGGTGCAATAAACAGAACATAGCAAAGTAAATTACGATCTGTTTTAAATCTCACATAAACAATTGACTAACAAGCAACACTAGTAATGAAAGCACACGTTACAATTATTATGCCCCTTTCTGTACCTTGCCCAAATTCCTGGCAAGAATGTTATCATAAAAAAAAAGGTCCTACTAGTATTTGTGAAAGACAAGAGCTAAAAGGATCCGATTAGTACTAGCAAGACTGGGCAGACCGCAGAACCGAGCTGAATGCCTGAATCTTACAGTTCAATCATAGTTATTAAGGCGGTAAGGCGAGGTGCGGCGCCCGACCCCCTTCCAGACGCCTAGGCGTTTAAGGCGCGAGGCGAGGCGACGCCTTACTAACGTCTTAATATATAATACCACTAGAAATCAGAAGCAAATCATACCATATAATATCATAATAAATAGTGCTGTCAGGGCACAACATAAAGTAGCAAACTAGCAAATTTGAAATCTCTCATCTCTCAATAGGAGCAAATTAGACTCTAGTGACATAACATAACTTAATTACTAGTGTCTTTGCTAGTCCATAGCACCCACAGATAGCAAGCAACCAAGTGAGCGAGTAGAAGGAGTAGAGAGAGAGGAAGAAGATGCAGAGAGAGAGGAAGGAATGAGATGCAGAGAGAGGAAGGAGGGAGAAAAGGACGCACCAAAGGCAGGGCAGATCAGGTGGGGATTGGGGACGACCTCTTCTCTTCCCTCTCTCTCTCTGCTTCTCTCTCGCTCTCCGGGACAATGGACGGAGGGAGTCATGACAGGGAGGGAATCGCGGGCCAGGCGGGGAGTCGCGGGACGGGGCGGAGTCTGTGAGACGAGCTGAGTCGTGCGGATGGGGGGAGAGTCAGCTGTGAGGCAGCCACTGCTGTGGCGGCCGCAAGCACCGAATTCTGGTGCTCCGCCGCCTCTCTCTCTCCTCTCTCTCCTTCCTTTTCCTCTCCTCTCCCTCTCTCTCTCTCTCGGACGGAGGCAGCAGTCAGACAGGATGACCTCATGCCTCATGGCCTGGGACGGACTTCTTGTGAGGCGATCGCTGCTTGCCGCGCGCCGCCGCCGCCGGATTTGAGGTCGTCGCCGCCCTCTCTCTCTCTTCCTCTCTCTTTCCTTTCCTCTCCCTCTCTCTCACTCTCTCGGGCACGCGATGGGGATTGGGAGCCTTTGGCGGGAGGTGTAGGCAAGGCTGCTTGCTTTCCCATGAGGGCATCGCGCCGCTTTTTCCCGCCCATTTGGGCGTAGCGCATGCGCCGCTCTTTCCCCGCGCCTTTTAGTCCCGCGGCGTCCGCCTCAGCGAGAAGGACGACTAGGCGACGACTTCGACCGCGAGGCGACGCCATATGCCAGGAGGATGCGGCGACAGTGACGCCGCGTTTGAAAACCCGCTCGGACGACTTAGTCGTCGCCTAGGCGACGCCTTAAAAACTATGAGTTCAATACAACTAATAAACGATAGATCTAGTTGCTGCATGACAACTCTTATCCAGCCTATTCGCTTGTTGGTTTCAGCCAGGGCTTATCAGCCATGGTATAGTATTTTCCTCTCACAACGAACCAGCACCAGCCCGGCTTATCAGCCCAGAAACCAATCAGCGAACAGGCTGATCCCTACCATTAACGGCAGGCAATTTCCTTGCCAGAAAATAAATGCAAGCTCATGCTCAACGCACATTAGAGCAAATTTCACAGTTTGATAGAACTAGGAATGGAAATGTTTAGTTGACTGCATGACAACTCCTATCTGCTACTAGTAACGGCAGGCAATTTCATTGCCCAGGAAAAAAAAAACACAAGCTCATGAACTGGAGCAAACTGAAACATCATCCTACGAGCCAGCACACGGTTAGTCCACTAATGCCCTGCACCAACATTTGGTATGTTTTTATCCTTGTTCGAGATAGCATGCTGACGCAGGAAAAAAATGGGGGCAGTATGCCACTTGCCACTATGCCCGGCCCTGTTTCGATAGCATTAATTCAGGATCAGAAGAGATTAGTTTCCAAATCCAAACAGAAAAGGCGCTACAAAATCAGCCATGAGTTACCATAAAAAATCCACCAACCGCAGCAGAAAGCAACGACTGGGTGATTAGTCAATCCACAGACCTGCAGGGCGGCGAGCTGCCGCTCGAGCGACTCGAGCGCGTCGCTGATGCCGACCAGGCTCTCCACCTCCACCTCCACCTCCTCCTCCTCCTCGTCCCCCGCCGCGCCCAGCCGCTTCACCGCCTCCTCGGCGTCCCGCCGCGGGCACGGCGCCCCCACCCCCGCGGCGGCGGCGCAGGCCGATATCCTGGTGCGGAGGTCCGAGGCGCGGGCGAGGACGAGGCCAATCTCCTCCCCCTCCATCTCCGCCACCGCCACCTCCGCGCTCCGCCGCTGGGGTTGGTGAAACAAAACCCTAGCAAAACCCCTCAGGCTCGCGGCAGCGGCGCGTGCGGTGTGGTGGTGGACTGGTGGTGGTGGGTGGTCTGCGCCGCCTTCGTCGCGGGGTGCGCGCGGCTCTCTCGCCTCGGCCGGCTGATGCCGTGTTCGTGGCTGTGGAGACGCCGAGGCCGAGGCGTATCCGCTGCCGGCGGGGCCCACCGTCAGCGTGTGTTGTGTGACTTGCGTTCTATGGGCTTGGGCCTGTTAATCTTGTTAGTGAAATTGGGCTGGCCTACTTACGGAAAGTCGAGGTGGGCTGGACCTTTTTTGCAAGGAGGCTCAATGCTACCTTTCTTTTTCTCTATTTCGTTTTGTAGGAAATGTGGAATGCAATTAGTTGTGTTTTTTTAAGGAAAGAATGTTGTTAGGGTTTGTTTGTTTGTTAGAGTTTCACCCCTTGATCCCTACCTCCAGCTACATGATTATCTCATGAAGTTACTTCTGTGGTGGAGCAAGGTGACTAGGTAGGCAAGAAAGTAATCCTGGTAGGCGCAGATTTAGGTCCCCTTTGGAACGCAGGAATTTCATAGGAATTACACAGGATTCAGTTCACTTTTCACAGGAAAAGCGCAGGAACGGAAAAAAAATCCCACGTTTCATAGGGGGGCCCTAATAGTGATTCATGTCTAATACTTATTAGAATTGTGACTTTTTACTATTTTTGTGGGATGAGGGATTTTTGCTGCTTAAGAGACGCTGCCAAAGAATCCCTCAGGGACCGTTTGGATCCTTTCATTTGAAGGAATTGAAATCTACTCCCTCCATTTCAAATTTTAAGTCGCTTTAACTTTTTTGATTCATCCATTTTATTATGTATCTAAACATATTATTATATCTAAATACATAGCAAAATGGATTTACCAGAAAAGTCAAAGCGACTTATAATTTGGAACGGAGGGAGTATTTAATAAATGAGGCTATTTGGCATAGAATTTGACATTCCACCACACTTTCCAAAGTTTCCATATAAGCCTATCTCATTCATAGGGTGGGAGATGAAAATTGTCTCTATAGATCACAATTCTATGTTTCTACTTTGTAACTTATAACACACTCTTCAACTCGCTGCCTACGGTAGAAATGCAACACATAAGTATCTCTCTTGTATATCCAACAATAATATACAAATATAACTAATATACAATCATATTAGCTTAATTAATATGTGTCTAAATTATGATTATTAAAATAAATTTAATTCCAAGGATCAAACAGGGCCTTAATGCTCGTTTTCACGATTGTATTTCATTAAGTAGATGAAGAGTTTGATTGGTTACAACACTCCCAAATAATCCATAAATTACCGTGGTTGGAGGGATGGAACCCCAAAGCGACCCACAAAACTAGGATGCAACTTAATTTACATGAATGTTTTACCACAAATTAGGCATCACTAAAGGCAACACAGGGGCCGACGGAACTAGCAAGCCTCCTCGAATACACACTTGACCCCTCCTAGGTCAACCTTCAAAAGCGCTCGAAGTGTGGATCTTTTTGCGAAGTCGAGCGGCTCCTGAAACGCCTGCTAGAAGGCTGCCATTGCCTAGGTAGCCGATGGCTGTGGGTGCGGAGCGGCGAGTTTGCACTTGTACGAGAGCACTTTTCTCCCTTAATGTTGTTGACAAAGAGGTGTTCTCTGGGCGTGGTCATGTTAATCTTTTTATGGAAATTGGGCTGGCCCACTCCTACGAAAGGTCAAGGTGGGTTGGGCCTTCTTTGCACGGAGGCCCGTAAGGATGTTGTCTTTCTTTTTTAATTTCCTTTTCTAGAATTTTTTTTTCCTAGTGCAATGCAATTAGTGATGCTTTTTCTTTTTTAGAAAAGAATGTAGCTAGTTGTTGGCCCTATGATCCAAGCGTCATAGAGTTTTATCCTTAATTCTTAGCTCTAGCTACCTGATTCTCTTATGGAGTGATAAGAAGGGGAAACAAGTGGGAAATGATTTTGCAGTAATTTTAGTGGGGATTGAATAGAAAGTGTGGGTTTTTTAGCTATCAGCTTCTATTTATGTAAATAAAGTGATATTTGTTGAGGAGGAGTGACTTTCATGAAGAGCTGCTCCTGCTCTAGGAGGCGCTGCCCATTAGCGTTGCCTCACTTACTTGTACAATAAAGTAGTACAAACTTTGTCATCTCTTTCATTTGTGTTGCTGTATCTACAAACTCTGTCATCTCTTTACAGCGAGTTTCTCACACACGCAAATTAAGACGAAGAATACCCATGCCTAACAATGGATCATGGACGCAATCATCATCATCATCCTAGAACCAAATCTATCAACACATTCCACCCACCACATGACCACAACTACCAATTAACTAATCTCTGTCGAATCAGCTTCACGACGAGCAGCTAGCTAGTTAGCTGAGGTGCGGGAAGGCGAGGTCCCTGGCGAGCAGGTACCGGAAGCTCTGCCGGTGGGGCACCCACTCGACGACCTTGCCTGCGGACCTGCCGTCGCCGCGGCGGCAGCGCTGCACCGCCGTCCGCAGCGTCTCCGGGAGGCATCGCTGCACGGCGTCGAGGAGGCGGTCGGGCGAGAGGCCGGCGTCCCGGGCGTAGGCGTCCAGCAGCTTGGGCAGCAGCATCCGGTGGTCCTTCCACACCCCCGCCGTGGCGCGGACGTACTCCTCCCGCGCCGCCTCCAGCTGCTGCGCCAACCGCTTCGGGAAGTACACCCGCACCTGCACGCCATAGAACACAACACAAGCATGAAGAACATCCTTCTTTCCTGTCAGTGCGAGCTCCAAACTGGACTCTGAACATGCAAAAGAAACAGACAGTACAATGATGCGTCGACCGTCGACTACTTCGATGAACAACAGCATGAACATTCTTGCATGGTGGTAGTAGGTACTACAGCATACATGTACCAAGGAAAGGATACAAAAGTAGAGATATACTTTGTAAAGCTCCTTTCATCATTGTGTTTGTCCATCCAATCCATGGCGCCACAGTCCACAGGTGACTGACAGGTTCTAGTTCACCTTGCAGCTTTTGTCACTTTCAAAAACATCTCTACATGGCTACTCGATTCATACGCTCCTAGTACTAGGTGATCCGTTGTTGCCATGCTCAATCATCAAGGTTTTCATTATCGGCAATAAAAATTTATCGGAGGTCATGGATAAATAGGATAAGCAAGATATATCGAAAATATCAGACCAAATTAAAAAAAAATTGAATTTGTTTTAAAAAAATTCTGTAGAATTTGACTTGAAACTATTCCTAAGCTATTAAACATCACTTGTTTACAGATAAAAACAAGAATAAAACATTATAGTGTGGGATTGTCGTACGGCTGAATTTGGGTTATCTGTGTGGAAGCAGGAAAGAAGGGAAAAATTTGTCCGATGTCAAATTTTATCGGACCCTATGGATAGAAAGGAAATTTCGAAAATTTCCGTGAATTTCGGCTGATAAAAAAAACCTTGTCAATCATGTTTGAGGGTTCCCAGGAACCAAACTGTCCATTGTAAGTAGTATAAGAGCAACTATAACCAATTCCTCAAATTTTGCCCCCCTATTCCTGCAAATGAGAGTCTCTCATCCATATTTCATCCTCTACTCCTCAGGGTACTTCAACCGATCTCCTAAATTTTTCTTACTTTTACACTGTATTGTCATGGACCTTGTTTATTGGTCCCACTTGTTAGCTTTATGGAAGAGAGAAAGCAGGATGAGGGAGAGGACGAGGGACTCCTCCATTTAGGGGTTTAGGAGAGAGAAATGAGAGTCCCTCATCCATCGGGGCTTTAATAGGGGTTCGGTTGGAGAGGTTTTTAATGTGTTTGAACTCTCAAAATAAGATGAGGGCTCAAGTAAGAGTTCGGTTGGAGTTGCTCTAATAATCCATGGTTTCAAGGCTTTATGTTAGATTCTGTCAGCCATCTCTGGTCTCTTCTTGTTTATAAAATTCTAGATCGACACTCAGAGCTTTTGTGTGTTTGCACTTTTGTGCACTAAAAAAAGAAGAAAAGAGGGGGCAAAAAAGACAGACATGATCGGAGAGCGAGGCGTGGTCGCTGGTTCTCACCGCGGGATCGGAGTGGCTACCGGAGCAAAGCGCTGCCGGACGGCGAAGGCTCGCCACTCCTCGCTCCCGGCTTTGCTCGCCCGGCTCGTCTTCGTCCTCGGATAGTGCAGCAAAGTCCGCAGCCACTGCGATCAAAAGCACCCAGAATACATGGAGTTCAGTTAGCACCTAGCACTAGCAGGAACACATGGCATCGTGCTCCTCGCTGCAGGCACGTTCCTTGACCCAATGATGTTGCTGTGGATGTGATGGTGGAGGCACTTACATGTCCGGAGGAGCAGTGCGTGCTGCACCCGAGAACCAACCCCTGGATGGCCGCCGCGTTGATGGCGTGCCCGGCGATCTTGCACTCCGCCTGCACGAGCACCATCCGTCGCATTGCATCGTGTCAGCCATTTCCGGCCAGTTGCTCTCTGTTGAGGTGGAGGAATTGTGTGACTAAGGTTGGGCTTCTTCAGCTGGTTCTGCGGGACGCCATACTTGAGGTACGCCTGGACATGGACGATCGATCATCAGCATCATATTCAGTCAGAGAAACGATCGAGCAGACACAACACAACAATCAGTGTCAGGCTGGGGATTCAGAGATCGAGAGTTCAGAACGTTACATGCATCACCAGCGCGTTGTGCACGTTGATCCAGAACGTGAGCTTCTCCTCGCCCGTCATCCGCCTCAGATCCACAGTCTCCAGCCGGTAAAGAATCAGCCTGAAATCGCATTGTACAAACACCGATCGATGTCACTACACGCCATGCCATCACTGATCTGAAGTTCGGAACAGCATCTATCCGAACACCAATGGTGACTCGATCACTCACTTGTACGTCTGGAGCAGGTCCTCGGCCTCCCAGAGCCTGGTGCGGCCGCGGGAGATGGCCGGCACCTCGACCATGGCGCTGTAGGGCCCGCTGAACTCCTTGAGCCCCTCGACGCGGAACGGGTTGATGAGCCTGGAGTCGAGCTGGGCGCCGTCTTTCCTGCCGCAGTAGCTGCTGGGGCTCCACATGTCAGCGTCGCCGCCGAGGTGCTGCTGCGGGGAGACCGCGCTCGGCGCCGAGGACAGCGACGACGATGGCGACGACGACGGCCGGTGGTGCGCCAGCAGCGGCGGATCGGCCAGCCTGCAGTACACCCCGGCCATGCACCGCACCATCTCCTCCGACAGGTTGTTCGGGGTCTCCGGGATGTGGTCCGCCACACTCGTCCCGAGGTAGTCCGCCAAGCTCACCACTCCTGACAGCGCCGTCTCGCCTTCCTGCTCGATCATCCCCAACACGTACGGTCAGAAATCAGAACAGATGAATGAACTCGCAACAGAATTTGTTCGAAATTTGTCAAAATTTTCGGATTTGAATTTCAGATTCTGATGATGGGCGAGGCAATGGCAATCACCTCCAGGAAGGAGAAGGGCTGGGAGTGGCAGGACCGGAGCGCCCTCGCGAGGCTGTCCTCCGTGGGCGATATCCTGGACGACGACGACAACCACGCGCCTCGGAACGACAGCGCCGACTGGCACCGGAGGCCGGCCGTGTCCACCAAGTCCGCGGTCGTCCTCCGGGGGCACGTCGACGGCGAGCAGTCGTCCGCCACCGTACCGCCATTATTCCTCCTCCCCTTGCCGCTAAGCGGAGGGCAGCTGTAGTGGAGCATCGTCGGGTCACCGCCGCCTCCCCTGACCACGAGCTCACCGACAGCTTGCGCGCCGCCGCTTCCCGGTCCCGACGAACATCTGAAGACACTTGCTGCTGCTCGAATGCTTTCCGGTAGAGTGTCAGCAGGTACTGCTCCAAGTGCTTGATCTCCAGCTCCAATGTCGCAACCTCCCTTATCAGCTGAGTAGCCGGCTGAATTAAAAAAAAAATAGAGGAAAAACATCAGTTTAATGGATGAACGGACGAACTGACAGGATTAAGAAAGAGTGATTTGGTGATTAGGTGAAGGAAAGAGGCACCTTTAGCGCTGGGCTCTCGTTTTGGAGAGTGGGTGGAGCAGCAGCAGGGTCGTCGTCAGGCCCCAGCGCTTTCTCCAGTGCGCCGCGCACCACCTGCTGATCCTTGAGGTGCATCTCCAGCTGCAGAATCTGCATGTGCGTGCCCATCGTGTCAGACCGAGCGAGAAACAGAGCAAGAAACGATCTTTCAAAAAAAGAAAAAAAAACAGAGCAAGAAACAACTTCAGGTTCAGTTCAATTCATCATGTTATCTGCAACATTGCGATATTCAGGCACAGTTTTTCGGAGCTTTTCTTTTGGGACAACATTAAAAAAAAGGGGACAGTTTCAACTTTGAAGCAGGCAGCTGAGCACTAGTGTAGAACAAAATAAAAATCAGTGAAGAACAGCAAGCAGCAGATTTTCAGGTCCTTGCCTCTTTCTTCAGGGAGCTCTGTGTGTCGCTCCTGGGCTGCTGAATTTCCTTCTTTATCCTATCAGCCATGATACAGTGTTTTTCTCTCGTAACAAAACAACATCAGCCGATTTATAAGCCACAGAAACGTTCAAGCGAACATAGTGTTGGTTTCGCATTTCTGCTGAGGGTTGGAGTTTCTGCCTTGCTGGGACAAAAACGGGACAAACCACAAAATAAATTCTTAGTTTCTCAGGAAAGCGATCCCAATATGAATTCACATGTGCAGAAGAGAGTCGTACTAACACAGAGAACCAAGAACTTACCACCAGCTTAGTCTGGCTTGATGCTTTCTGCGAAGAACGCGGTGCGCCGTTGGCATCTTTGTCGTCCAAATCACTGCAACCACGCAAGAATTTCCTCGTGAACATTGCGAGAAGATAACGGAAACGAAGAAATCTGCAGATGCGAGCTCGTGTACCCAACCGACCAACCTCTTGGAGCGCCTCTGCCTTGCCGAAGGACTGGAGGGCTTCACTGCTCTCATGAAGGGTGCGTGCCCTCCTCTCTTCTCCAGTGCCGCCATTTCTCTTCTTCTCTTCAGACACCTTGTGAATAAACCAACCAACCAAGAACTGGGAAGAAAAATACCGAAGAACAAAACAAATCAAGGACTGAACTGGGAGCAAGAAACAAGGGAAGTTGCAGAACTCACACAATTTGCTGGACCTGGCGTAGAACAATGAATAGCTCAAGCCTCAAGGCTCAAGCAGTGGAGGGGAAGAGAAGCAGTGGGAAGAAGAGAGGAAGAGAGGGAGAGCTCCCTCCCAATGATGCAAGCAGAGAGCAGAATGGTGCCTTCAGAAGGCAGAAGGCAGAAGGCAGAAGGTAGAGGCCACACTAGGCGCCAACAAGCCCTCCTGCACTCGGTAGTGAAATTTTTGTATTTTTGTTCTTTTTTAAAATATTTTTTACAAAAAGACCCCTGCCAAAACTTTTGCTACAAATAGATCATTTTTAAGCGTCTTAGGAAATCACACCGAGGTATGACGGTCGGCGTCGACTGACACGACGCCGAGTCCTTGCCACGTCACCGACGACTCCGGGGCTGGCGCATGGGGCCCAGTACGTCGGCGTCGTGTCAGCCAACGCCACAGGCCTAAATTCGGCGCTGTGGGGAGTCACGCCGAGCTCTTGGCACCATCCCGCGCGTGGCCCAGGCGGCCCAACAACGCTTCGTGGGCCAAGAGGTCGGCGTGCGATCAGATGACGCCGAGACGCTAACCTCGGCGCGGCCCAACTCAACGCCGAGGTTCGGTCAGCTGAGGCCGCGCCGCGGCCCCCTTCTTCCTCCTCCCTCCATTCAGAACCAACAGGTGGCCATTTCCCACTCCCTCTCTCTTCCCACGAACCCTAAATTCTAAATCCAGCTCTTGGTAGGCCAGATCGAGGGTTCTGACGTTTTGCCAAGGTACTCCTCTTTCCCCTCTTTCATTTCATCCATTTAGATTCGGTTGTTTGTGTTTTTTTTGAACTTGGCATTATAGGTTTGGTTTATGTTCATGTCATTCGTGCAATGTATGGTGGTTCAAATGATTGAATGAGCCAAATGTATGGTTGTTGTTGTTGTTGTATATGTTCTGGTTTATAATCATTGAGTTAAATTTTGTGTTTGTTTGGATTCAAATTTGCTTAGGGTTTGTAATGAAAAGCTTATTTGGGAGGTATGGTGATTTAGTGTTAGTAGCTTTACATTCGTTGCAAGGTACTTTGGATTGATTTTTTTTCTACGTAATGTTAGGATGCCAAGGCATGGTAAAGCTCGTATTCCAAGATAATCCCAATGTTTATTCATTATTTGTGCAACAAATAGAAAACCCTAGGTTTAGGTTTGGTTCTCCGTTAATATGACTAAATTCTTTCAATTGTAGCTATAGTTGCCAGAGGGCAAATCCCTACGACCTAAAGCCTCTCCCTGAAGGTGTTCCTCGACCCATGTGCTTTTGTGGTGATCCTTGCAAGGTAGACATCTCTGAAAATGAGGAAACATATAGACAGAGGTATTTGATGTGTCCCAATTATGCATGGGAACCTACAAAGCAACAGCGCCGTGCATCGATTGTGAGGAATTTTTATTGTGTGTTAATTAATTTTCTTGTGATATTGCCCCGTTCGCTGGTCTGAACTTTAGCTGAAACTGGCTGGAAAACACTGTTCCAGCTGAATTGTTGTGAGAGAAAAACACTGTTACGGCTGAAAAAACAAGCCGAACAAGCCAAACTTTAAGACAAGCGAATGGGGCCATTAAGTATTGCTTATTTATTTGTTTTGTAACAATTTGTTTTTCTTGCAGACCGTTCCACCACTGTGTGACTTTGAGCAGTGGATTGACACTGAGATCAAGGAGTCGGACAAGCAGCATCTAGAAGGCCTGAAGGAGTGGGATGCGGAGGTTAAGGAGAGGTTTGAGCAGAGACGCAGACAGGAGGCTATAGAAAAGGAGCATAAGGAAGAGGAGGAAAGGAGGCGTGTTGCTGCGTACAGGGCGGAGAGGGAGAAGAAGCTTGAGCGTGTGCGCCGAGCGAAGGCAGTGATGGAGGAGAATCCCGATGCCCAGAGGAAGGGAAAGTGGCCTCGTTGCACTCAGTAGGTATTTGGTTTATTCATGAGCGATGTCGTGTAGCCCTAAACTTTTTTTACTATGTTGTAATGCACTCTGCTTTTATTTCAGATGAACTTATTCCCTTGACTTTTTTTATTATTATATTGTAATGCACTATGCTTTTATTTCAGATGGTCTTATGCCCTGTACTTCGTTAACTATCCTAGGACTATAGTGCTACTGTTTGTATCACTGAAAAGGCTACTTGTGCTGTTGCAGTCACTGAAAGGGCTACAAGTACTGTTGCAGTCAATGAAAAGTCTATTTGAAAACTCACTGAAAAGCCTAGATTCGTTTACTGTTGTATCCGTATACGCAATGAATTAATATCAGAGTGATGTACTACATTTAGATGAAGTGACAAAACACAGGTGTAGCCTTTTCAGATGAAATGACCAGTCATGGTTGTAGGCTTTTCAGATGAAGCATCTAGCCTTTGCAGATTCAATAAATGAGTGCGCACACAAGTTTTTTGTCAAGTAGCATTCATGGTGAACCTGCTTTCATCTCTGCCATGTTACTAGTCATGAAGCCCCATCTCCGACCTCCGGTGTCATATGCAAGTGACCACTTATCCTTCGACGCCATTAACTCGCTCAAGAATTGCCTGCCATCAACATTTGTGGCTAACTTCAGGGCATCTAGTTTGTCTTTGAATAATTGAACCTCTTGCTGCCTGCAAACCTCCTCAAATAATTTGAAGTTGTCCTTTGTGTGATCACGCCTTATAAGATTCTGAGCAAGGTGTCTGGTGCACCACCGGTGATGTATTTGGCCGTAACCAGGAATCTCTTGTTCTACGACATTCAGAATGCCAGCATGCCTATCGGATATCACATAAACATCACGTCCCAGACCAATTACCACTTGTCTTACTAGCCTGAGAAACCAACACCAACTATCTGTGTCCTCCTTCCGAACAATCGCAAAGGCCAATGGCACAAGCTGGTCTTCTGCATCTGTCTCAATACAAACAAGCATTGTGCCTTCAAATTTCTCTGTAAGAAAGGTTCCGTCAATTGAGACGACGGGCCTGCAATGCTTGAATGCTTCGATGCTCTGCCCGAACGCCCAAAAGACCCTTCTAAATACCTGGCTACCATTCCTTGTTTCACCCTCCTTTAGTAAATACTCGAAGTGCATCCCAGGATTTATAGCCCTCATTGCGTTCAACATTACAGGGAGGCGCTCATAAGCTTCTTCCCAATTTCCAAATATTATTTCCAGTGCACGCTGCTTTGCCCTCCATGCTTTTCCATACTTGACATAATAATTGTACCGTTGGAAGATGATCTCAATTAACGCGGACACCGTAATGGTTGGCATATGCTTCACCATGGGGCATAACTGCCTTGCAACGAACCTAGAATTAAGCTGCAGATAGTTCTCTTCTGCCTCAGCAGTGGCACAAACATATGGTTGCTTCATTGAGGTAATCTTCCATTTGCCTGCCTTCGTCTTCCTAGCACATACTCTCCAACCACAGTGTTGTTCTTCACAAGCAACAGTGTACCTCTTCTCCTTGAATGAATTGATGACCCTAAAAGGTCGGTTATGTACAATGGAGTACTCTTGCAACTATGTTTTCAACTCATCCATGGTAGCAAACAATATGCCCTTCCATATGATGAGGCAACCGCTAACATTAGGCACTGTTGTATCACTTGGCCCACCATCAGCTACTGCCCTGTGACCATGGCTAAGGTCCTCGAAATCACCAACTAGTAGATCTCTCCAAGGCAAGACCCTAGACAATATCTCTATTTCCCTAAAATTGAGACGACCAACAGGGCGATCGTCATCAGAGTCTTCGGCTATCTCCTCTACGAAGGATTCATCATCTCCAGCTATCTCCATGTCAAAACGGTTCGTAGCCCTAGCATCACCAAAGACTTCTTCACCACTAAGATCATCTTCGTCGCTAAGCTCATCCTCAATAGAAAAGTCTCCGCTAGCGTCGTCCAAACCTTCTTCTGCATCACCAATTACATAATCATCATCCTCTTCATCACTATCATGATTGCCCTCACCATCGGCAACTGCATTCTCCTCCTCATCTCCACCGCCCTCAAACCAACCTCCATCACGCTCGAGCGATCCAAACACTTCACCACCACCGTAGCCTAGTTGTGTGACAAGTATTTCTTCTTCAGACAAAGAACCATAACCTATGTGAGCGGGGGAAGATGGGCATGCTTCAAAGTTATCATTTCCTAAGCCAGACTCCTTACTTACTACTAAATCCAAAGATTGCACTTCTAAGGCCAATACAATTGCCTTGTAATCATTCCATTCAGACTCGCTTGTAATTTTGAGCAACCGCTTGATCCGAGGACCCTTCGACGACCCAACATCTATGACACCTTCAAACTGAACATGCACGTCTCCTTCATTCCAGCCTAACTTAACCTTCACTCGCTCCACTAATTGGGTCAAAGATGGTGTTTCAGAAAAAATCAACAACTCCTCACACATGTCTAGAAATTCCAAACTATCATCTCTTGTCCTAACAATACGGCCTCCATGATGCAACCTCACTAATTTATCTATCTACAGCCATCACACAACAAGTAGTGTCATATATCAATATATCATGCGAGTTTCAATCCAATAAGTAGAAACTAAAATATATCATTTCATCTTTTTCAACCCCAACAACATAATCATTTCTAGTCATAAAAAATTGAAATCTAATGACCAACAAATAACTAAAATACATACTAACCCTAATGACCAACAAATAACTAACCCTAATGACACCCAAAGAACCCTAATGACCAAAATAACTAGAAACCAAACTAACCTAACATGTTCAGCACATAAAACAGTTAAACAACAATGCACTCAATCAACCTAAGCCATACATTTTGCAAATGCAAATACACATATACCAAAACACCATACACCCATGATTCCACATGATT